ACTGTTTTGTAAGATAAATGAGGAGTTCTATATTAGAGAACTTTTGGAGCCAGCATTTTGCCGTAACTCAACATAGGAACATTGGTCAGACTACTTAACTTCTGTTTTGTGACTGAAATAGAAACTAGGACATTTTACAGGAGACATTAGTGAGTTTTTTGTTTAAAGTGTTTTGAATGAATTTTCCATCTTGAGGCTTATTTATAATGTGTTTTATAGCATTATAAGCTAGCATTTAATTTATAGAAGATAAAACTAAATGTTATAATTGTGCATGTAAAACGTAAAGGCATAAAAAAGTCTGTGTGTCTGTATGGACAGACACACAGACATTTGGAGGTTTAATTATGTACCAAATCATTTCTGTTTGGTAACACATATGCTGGCACAGATATTAATTTCAAACAGAATCTGAGACCTGTAATACAAGGAATTAACTAGCCGCTTGTAAAGAGCCCCTTTCCTCATTTTGCCTACGATTAGATTAGGAATGTGCTCTTTGTTACGAGGTTTTGCCCTCTTTTAGATGTCTTCTGAACCAGAGTTGGTTTCTAATCTTTCAGGATACCAAAGATTTTACTAAAGCATAGTAAAAGTAAAGTTTCTAGAAGAGACAGTCACTAGAGTTTGCCTTCTGAAAGTCACCACGAGGCATTTGGAACTTGGTTACAAGTTACTATTGAAAGCACACAACCAAGAGTTGATAATAGCATGCTCTTTTTTAGCATAGATTTCTTTAACCTGAATTGGCCCATATCCACTTGGAAATGATGTCAGTGTGCTGTGGAAATCATGTTGGTTCAGAGACAACTTTTTCTGTAGTGTTAATATATGCACTGCAGTTGGGACAGACATTTCAATCAAAAGAGTAAGATTTGGAAATATATGACGATCTTACAAAATACATGGAAATCGTGCAGAAAAGAAGTCATTTAGTGCAAGAAATAAGCTAGTTCAGTGGTTTCCAGAACCACCACGTTTTGCACTGTTTAATACTCTCAGGAAGCTCAAAACCATTTATTTACTCTCCTATATTTATAAAGAAGGAAAATGAGAAAAAGGAAGTCTTCTCCAGAATTATATTTTTAATTTTGTCAAAGCTGGTCCTAAAAGAAAATACCTTAAAAAGAGAAAGTACAGAAATAACTCTCATGAGTGGACCATCTGTGATTATTGGTGCAAATGTTAGTGGAGGTTTAATCTTTACTAGAATTGATGATTTTTTTTAGGACTCTTAGCTGCAAAATAATAACATAGGTTTGAATGCTGTTTCTCTAATCATATTTTCACTATTAGTTAGCTTTAGTGGTTGATATTGTAGAGCATGAGGGTCCGCCCCCCCCCCCCCCCCCCCAGTAACATCCATAGGTTGATACAGAAGCTTCAGTCCCCACACCCACCCACCTATCCTGGATTCTAATTCACTAAATAGGCTCATTCTAGTGCTACTTAAGAGTTTGTCCTGAATTTTACTGTCTTGCAAATTTGATTTATAGTAGGTATAAATTTTACAGATCTTAAAGAGATCATGCTTTTCAATAAAAATTAATATTAAACATAAAGTTTGATAAATGAGGGAGTTGGTAAAATGAGCTAACAGGCATCAAGACTCCTTTAGCACTGAATGCTGTTATATTCTCATTGGCTGTTCTAATTGGGCATTATTATTTTGTGGAGATTTCTTTATAGTGTCTGAGCATTAACAATTTATAAGTGGGCATAATAAAATGAAGTCCCACTTTGGGAGGGCATACATTGTTACTTATGGTAACCATCAGGTTGCCTACTCCTCTTGTGGTAAGCCACAGGCCAGATCCAGCCTACTGCCTGCTTTTGTAAACAAAAATTTTGTTAGAACATAGCCATGTCTATTGGTTTATATGTTACTTATACCTGCTTCTGTGACACGTTGTACCACCTCAAAACTGGAAATATTTACTACCTTTTACAAAAAATGTATTAGACCATTCTGAACAATAGTCAGAGGGTCTTCCCTGGTGGCTCGGCAGTAAAGAATCTTCCTGCAGTGCAGGAGATGAGGGTTTGATCCCTGAGTCTGGAGGATCCTTGGAGAAGGAAATGGCAGCCCACTCCAGTATTCTTGCCTGGGAAATCTTATGGACAGAGGAGTCTGGCAGGCTACAGTTCATGGGGTCGCAAGAATCTGGACACAACTGAGCAACTAAACCACCACCACCAAATAATAGTCAGAAGGACGTAAAACAGTATTTTGTAATATTTAAAAATAATTTTTTCACCAGGCCTCAGTGAGAATATCACACTTAAAATAATTTTAGGAAAGGTATTAATCCAGTCAGATCTGTATGGGATTGAAACCAGTTTTGTGAGCCTCACTTTCTCGAATGATTGGACATCATTTTCTTTCTTTTTCTCCTCCCCTCCCTTCCTCTCCCCTTCCCCTTTCATTCACTTTGAGACTACCTGCTGTGTTCTTTAGTTCCTTGAAGGTGATTTATAAGGACATGAAAACTGCAGGAATGGGTTTGAGTGGCTGTAAGTTTCAATATGTTTTAAAACCAGAGAACGATTTATTTGGGTGGAGGAGAGGAAGACTGCTGCCTCTACTGTGTGATCAGCGTAGGTTAATGTTGATCAGTTTCTGTTGACAGACTTACTGATACTTAGGAATATATTATGTCTTTTTTTTTTCTTTCAGGGATTGACATTTAAATACTTAACTACTCGAACATTATCACAAAGTTGTCTAGCTTTGAACTGATAAGATTTTCTTTTAATACGATCTTAAAACTTTCAAGGAATATTTAAATTTTACTATGAAACGTATTAGAGATTGTGATTCATTTAAAAGATTACAACAAACTTTAAAAAAATAAGAATGTAGAGAACCTGAATGACATAATTTATAAATATTATTCCCTGGATAGTAAATTGTATTCCATGGATAGTAAATTGTTTACCTGAAAAGCAATATTTTACTTTCCTTTTTAAAAAATAACTATGAAGTGATTTGAGAATTTGCTCAGTCTTAACTCCTTTAAAAAAGAGTTGTTTTTCAGTTGTCAAGTCGTACTGTTTGTTTGGGACCCCATAAACTGAGCAAGCCAGGCTTCCCTGTCTTTCACTATTTCCTGGAGTTTGCACAAACTCAAGTCCATTGAGTCAGTGATGCCAGCCAATCATCTCATCCTCTGTTGTCTCCTTCTCCTCCTTCCCTCAATCTTTCCCAGCATCTGGGTCTTTTTCAGTGAGGTGATTCTTCACATCAGGTGGCTAAACTATTAGAACTCTCATATCTGATACTAGAAATGAAACAAAAACAAAAGCAACTTCTGAAAACTAAATCTCTTGATAAGAAACTCATGGGATAAAGCAAAATATCAGCCTGTCAGTGTAAGAATATCTAGGGAGAATAAGGACTAAATTACAATATATAAAATTCTACAAGGTTCAGCTTGGATACACTCAGAAAATATAACATATACCCTGGAAGGAAATATCATCAAAGACTAAGATACAGGAAACCCTATAGGTTACTATAGTTTTTTAGTAGTTGATCCAGTTAAATGTTTAGAGAATACTATTGTTATGGATCAGAACCGTAAAAATGAAAATAATAGTATGAACCTGAGAAATATTCACTGAGAATAATGTCATATCTTCTTTCAAGAATCCAGTATTGAGCTCTTCTTGAAAAGCGAGAGAAAACAAGGACACTGAGACCAGAAACCTTAGGTCAGGCTTTGAAGCGATGATGGGAGATGTATGATCCATTAAGGACTGTACCTTTAGATGGAGTTGTCATATGCGGTGTTCAGTGGCTTATTTCTGATTCTTTTGAGATCATGTTCAAAATGAAAGACTTGAAAAATTTTTAAACAAAATTAAACAGCTTTAATATTACTGAAACTTTGTTCTCATTAGAATATGCTCTTTTATGTTATTTACATGAAGGATGGATGTTGGCCATGAATTACATAAGTTGAATCTATTAACCTTGATATTTCTCCTCTGAAACACCAGCTTTTCAAGGGTATATATTCATGCATGCTTCTTTTGCTTGTGTAAATCTCATGTGACCTTTGCCAGAGGTTAAAAAGTCTTAACAACTGAAAAGTGTCTTCATATCCCTCAAACTTGCTCTTAAAACAGTGCAGCATCAGGATTTGAATTACTATGAATGTAACCCAACCCTCTATCAGTGGTACAGTTGTTAGGACTGTGTTTGGAATATTTTGTGGCAAATTCTGTATCTCTTTATCTAGGACTTGGTTTTGGTATACTTTCTACTAGTAGTGCTTTAAATTCATAGTAAATATCACCATTGATTTCATGTAAGCTTGTTAACTGTTTTTAGTGCTTTTAATGATTTTCTTTGTAAAATCAGTTTGAGAATTGACTCTGTCCACTTCTGCATTTATTGTGCAGACCTGAATTACAATGTACAAATTGGTGAAGGAGTGTTTAGATCTAAAGCCTAGATTTGTGTTTTGCAAAAATTGGACATATTTGAATATCTTTATTAAAAATTGCTGAAATTCATAATTGCTTAAGCAACTATAATATTGCTATATGATATTAAGCAACTGGTTTTTTTTTTTTTACAGTCTAATCCACATTAATTTTATTTTATTTTTTTTAGTGTAATGACTTTTATTTTTTTCCATTTATTTTTATTAGTTGGAGGCTAATTACTTTACAACATTGCAGTGGTTTTTGTCATACATTGAAATGAATTAGCCATGGATTTACATGTATTCCCCATCCCGGTCCCCCCTCCCACCTTAAGCAACTGGTTATAAAAAAATCTTACCTCTTGGGTATTGAGGGGTTTGGTTCTAAGAAGTAATTTCTTTGGCCAGATTATTTGATAGAATAATTGATTATAGAAATATTTGGGAAAAGGATAGGGTCAATAATGAATTGGGAGGCTTTTTTTTGATGAAAAAATATTTCACTTTCAGTGTTGTATTTGCATCTCATTTTCCTGATAGATTTCTGTTTTGGTTTTCTGCTGACAGGTCACATTTAGGGCAGGCAAAACATAAGGGATATAGCCCTCCTGAGAGTAGAAAATCTAATTCTAAGGCACCCAAAGTGCAGTCTAATACTACTTCTGAACTGTCAAGGGGACACCTTTCTAAAAGGTAAATCTTCACATTGCTTATCCATTTTTCAGGGCGGAGTTATTTGCATTTGAATCATTGCCTTATTTTAAAACATACCAGGTTATGCCAAAATGTTGTGATATGTTTTTTCGTCATTCTGTGGGTGTAACTTTTAGGAGAAAAGTTAACATCACCTCTGCAGTGATGTTAGTGCAACATCCCCTAGGCAGTGCTTTTATTCTCCTTTATCAGAGACCTGCAGGTTTCTCCCTTTGCCTGAGTTTCTCCTTTTGCTTGACAAACCATTACAGGCATCTGCAGTGCCATTTTAGAATTCATTTTTCTTGTTTTTTTTTTTTATTGTCAGAGACACAGGTCAGTGATTTAAGATCTAATTGATAGGAGAAAAGAATATAACTGTAAATATCTGATACCACAGTAAAAAAACTTTCTAACCTTCATTTTATAAATGTGTATGTTAATGCTTATTTACTTTAAACTGTAACAAAGAAGTTGCGTTTGTAAACAGAGTATGGCGATTTTAGTTTAAACTGGTTCTGAACTACTAAAAAAGCATCCTTTTTTTGGTAATCCTAATTTTTGTGTTGTGATTAGGAGTATCAGTGTCAGTAATCTTTGGGCTAAAGAATGAACCTGATCTTTTAATATTTTACCCTCTAAAGCATCTCCCTGTCCCCCGCTTTTCTTTTTCCAATGTTGAACCGTTTGCAAGCCTCTGTTTGTTTAGTTACTGGGCTTACCAGGAATACTTTAGCACTTAAAAAAAATCTTATTTCCATGGACTTGAGAAATTAATATAAGTTTATTATGATAGGTTTTATGATGACGGGCTGATACTAACTCTTTTCTTATCTAACCTTTTAGAAGCTGCAGTTCGTCATCTGCTGTCATAGTCCCACAACCAGAGGATCCAGACAGAGCCAATACTTCAGAAAAGCAGAAAACGGGGCAGGTGCCTAAGAAAGACAATTCTCGAGGAGTGAAACGCAGTGCTAGTCCAGACTACAACAGGACCAATTCTCCTAGCTCTGCCAAAAAACCCAAAGCACTTCAGCATACTGAATCTCCCTCAGAAACGAGTAAGCCACATAGTAAGTCAAAGAAGAGACACTTAGACCAGGAGCCACAACTGAAATCTACACCATCTCCATCCACGAGCAAGGCTCATACCAGAAAGAGTGGGGCCGCTGCTGGTTCACGGAGTCAGAAAAGAAAGAGGACAGAGAGTTCTTGTATAAAGAGTGCTTCTGTGTCTGAAGCCACTGGTGCCGAAGAGAGATCTGCAAAACCTACCAAGCTGGCTTCAAAATCGGCCGCCTCAGCCAAAGCTGGGTGTAGCACCATCACCGACTCGTCCTCCGCTGCCTCGACCTCCTCCTCGTCCTCTGCCGTCGCCTCGGCCTCCTCTGCTGTTCCACCAGGTGCCAGGGTGAAACAAGGAAAAGACCAGAACAAGGCCAGGCGTTCCCGCTCAGCATCCAGCCCCAGCCCCAGGAGAAGCAGCAGGGAAAAGGAACAGAGTAAAACTGGTGGCTCTTCAAAATTCGATTGGGCTGCTCGCTTCAGCCCTAAAGTCAGCCTTCCTAAAACAAAACTGTCTCTTCCAGGGTCTTCTAAGTCAGAGACATCCAAACCTGGACCTTCCGGATTACAGGCCAAATTAGCAAGTAAGTTTACTGGAAAGGCTTTTTTATTAAATAAAATTTCCTTTGGTTTGTCAGGTTTTCAAGTTGGGCAGTCTGAGGCAGTTTTAGATTTATTACTGTACTTGTATCTGTACATAACAGTCTAGTAATTGATATACCATGTCTGGTTTTATGGAGATGGATAAGGAATGCTACTGCCTTATTAGTAAATTGTCATGTTTTAGTGTCTGTATCTTTATAGTGTTTGCTGCTTATTTTCTTATGTCAGAGCAGGACAGCAATTTGGTTTTTCTCCTTTAACTAGAAACATAACTGTGGTAGTTATGAGGTGGTCATGACCACAAATGGAGATCAAACATTGCTTTTTGGTATTGTACATTCTTAATGTGTGGAAACTCTGAGCTCCATTATTGGAATATACATGTACCTTAGTTTTAAACCTCATTCATAGGTAATATTTTATGGCCTTTAAGGAGTTTAGTTTAAAGATGAATACCTCAATGTTACGAGGCACTGGGCTATGGCTCCTAGGTAAATGGGAGAGAATTTTGCCTTCTTGAAGCATATAGTGAAGTAGAAAAAACTAATAATAAGTTTGTCAATAATACATCCAAGGAAAGAAACTAGATAAGAGAAAGGTATATTGAGGCACTTTTCTTCCTCTTTTTTTTTTTTTTTTTTAAAGAAAAGATCAACTTCAGGAAGCCAGATGTTTATTTCTTTTTTTTTTAATTAATTAATTAATTAATTAATTTTTTTTATCACAACCATAGTGTATCTTTTTTTTTTTTTTTTAACATGTATTCCCCATCCCGGTCCCCCCTCCCACCTCCCAGATGTTTATTTCATTAGAACTAATTAGAAATGATGGGGACCCTCTTCAATTACAATTCCTATAATGCTGAAGTGCCTTTTTTTCTATTTTGAGAAATCTAAAAGACACAAATACAGAGAACCATACGGCACTTATTTATGATTTTTAAAGCATTTAGTTTTTCTAATATTGAACCTGGAATCTTGTTTTTGACCATCTTTTTTTCCTTTTGAGCCCTCTTGGAAAATTTCAGATCCATGTTTTGATATACCTAGACCATTTTTCAGTTATTGGAAAATTTTATACTGTGTCTACTACTGTTGTCAAAGTATCAGTCATATTGAATCAGCCTAATATAGTGTTGAATCCACACTGTTAGCTCTGTATAGTTGAATCCTGCAGTCAATAAACTATTAATTCAGTTGATTCAGTATTAGTGAAACTTTGGCCAGAATACTAGTAGACACTATTGTAAAATTTTATGTTTAATCTGTATCATGGGGTTATTTGAAGGTAACCTCTTTCACTCTTAGATCATAGAAACTGTTCTATTTAGTATTTTAAATATGCAGTGTGTGTGTGCATGCTTAGTTGCTCAAATTGTGTCCCACTCTGCACCCCATGGACTGTAACCTGCCAGGCTCCTCTATCTATGGGATAGATACTCCAGGCTAGAATACTGGAGTGGGTTTCCTCTTCCAGGGAATCTTCCTGAACTTGGGATTGAACCCTTGTCTCCTGCATTCGCAGGCAGATTCTTTTCCACTGAACTATTTGAATTTGAATTTAAATATTGGGTGAAGATTAGGATCTGTATGTTAAAGTCAGAAGGAAATAAAAGGTTCAATTAAAAGGGACAGCAATTTGTCCACAGGTCCTGACAAGGCTTTCTTGAGAATTGAAGTTATTTATCTCCTCTTTTATACCACTTCTTGTGTCTTTTTTTTTTTTTTTAACTTTTATCTGCAGTGGATCCTCATTGCTGTGCATGGGTTTTCTCTAGTTGCAGCAGGTTGGGGGGGTCTTCTCACTGCAGTGGCTTCTTTTGTTGCAGAGCCCAGGCTCTAGGGCGTGTGGGCTCAGTAGTTCGGTGCAGGGGCTTAGTTGCTCTCGGTGGCATGTGGGATCCTCCTGGACCAAGGATCCAGCCCATGTCCTCTGCATTGGCAGGCAGATTCTCAGTCACTGGACCACCAGGGAAGTCCCCTCTGTCAGTGGCTGACCAGCCAGATTCCCTTGTGCAGTTGCTCTCAAACAGAAAGCTCCGAGGTGTCGATGCTGCCGCTGTGCCATAATGAAATCAAGCCCAGATACGCTGCTGTACTCACTGCACATGGTCACACCTGACGGAGTAGTTTTTAAAACTCACTTCATAGTTGTTTTTCTTATATTCACAAAATCTGCGTGTGTTCTGTGGTCACTAATATCACTTTCCCATTTTTATTGCCACTATCCTACTTCTAAGCTCTAATTATAGCCTAAGCTGTTGAAACAAGAGACGGGAACCAGCATTTGTTGCCAGGTATTTTACAAATGCAGTTTCATTTAATTTTCAGAAAAATTGGTGCTTGTTAGTAGTTACTAAGGAAATTTATTCCAGGGAAGTGAAATAACTTGCCAGAGTAACATATCTCCTAAGTGACAAGAGTTAGGATTTGAAGAGAGGGGTATGTATGACTATGGAACCTTTGCTTCCTTTGCTGTGTCACTTACTTTTCGCCCATTGTTCTTTGTGTTTTGCTCTTGCAACCTATTTGGATCATTAAGAGATGTTAAGATCCCAGAGGAGGTGAACTTTTATTTGATCCTTTTTTACTAGTATCGATTCATCTTTAGGGATGAATAATACTGGTTGAGCCAGAGATTCATATTATAGCATTTACTGCATGTTTGCTTCTTGACAAGTAACTGAAAAACATTGCAAGATGAAATAATAGCAAATATTTAAAGTGCTTCCTAGTGCCTGACAACTTTGTAAATAGTTGACATGGATCATCTCATTTACCTGTGGTCAGCCCTGTGTGACAGGTAGTAATATTCCCATCTTACAGATAAGGAGCTTCAGGGTCAGTGCAATCAAGTTACCTGTCCAGGGTCACAGAACTACGAAGTGATAGAGCCAAGAGTCAAACCCAGGTCATGTGATTCCACAAGGTAGTTTAGGGTGAGATTAGGGTGTGGAGAACTGATAGATTGGATGAGCTCAATGTAGACAGGCTTCCTGAAGTCATCAGGGCAGGGTGAGTTTTAACGTGATTAAATGGGTCACTTCAGGAGAGTACTGCAAGAGGATTGGCAGTACTTGATAATTTTATTTAAGAATAGAGAGGCAAGATGAGGTATCTTAGAGGAATCCCTGGATTTCAAGTAATGGTATTTTGAGGAGAGAGAGCTCTTAATATGGAGCTAAAAATCCTAGATTTGAATCCTGGTTCTGCCATTTTATCATCTGGTTTCTGAGAAAGTTGGTAAGCTTTTCATTGTAAAATAGGCACAATAGTTGTTTGACGAATGAATATATATGTGAAGAGACATAGCACAGTGCTTATAGTACATAAGGATGTGTCACTAAATTTAGGGTGCATAACTGAAATTGAGTGTCTTAAAGCGCTCAGGAACATTGTTCTGAGAATGTAGGATTGATACAGATCCTAACTATTGATTAATTGAAGGTGTGGCTACCTTTAGATGTGAAAGACCAAAAAATAGTTTCCTGGCATTGAGCAAATCATTGAACTGCAATTATGTATAGCTACCTAATCCCTAGCCTTTGCAGAATGATAATATTCATTCTGATGAAGCATAAATGAAAGAATGTAGGTGGAAACAACTTTGTGAAATTAAAGTGCCATATAAACATGCAATGGTGAATTTTGAATTGTTGTGATAGATTTGAAGGGCATTTGTGTGCATCAGGAATTAGTTTGTTTTTTTTTAATTTTAATATTAATTTGGAGGCAGAATTAGCTTCAGTGGTTACAGTCATTCAGTAGATGAGCAACTCTGGTGAAAAATTTCTGTAAGTTAACTAAAAAATGGAGTGGATGTTTTGTGAGTTAGAAGGCATTCCAGATTTGGTACATTATTGATTTTCTTCAAATTTTAAGAATCAGTGAACCTGTTAATTTGAAGGTGATACATTTCCTCAGGTATAGGCTTATTCTAAGATTTGGTTGGCTTCAGTAAAGCTTCCTGGTAAAGGAAATTGTTTCCAAATTGAAGGAATAGCAGTACTCACATGATGGTTTTGTGTAAACCCATTTGCCATGGCCAAATATTACTCAAGGAGATTTAGGATATGCTTTCACATCTTGAAAGCTGGAAGAATTCTTAGGGTAACTTCTCCGTAACCCATTATTTTATGTATATTTGACCACCTGTTACTTCGGGAGACAACAGAGGTCCCTGGAACTCACTTCGGGAATGATGTGTTTAGTCACATCACTTAAGCAGGAAGAGCTTTTCTGCTGTGCTGCCTCGGCAACTGTTGAACAGGTTTCTGGAGAGGCAGAGAAATGGGGCAGGCAGGAAAACTAGAGAAGTAGCTACTTTGTGATGGGCTTCTGGAACCTGTGGCTTGTCAGCTCCAGCTGCTCAGAATCGCTCTGGAACAAAGGTTACCTTGCATCAACTGGTAGAAGTCTTGAGAATACCCCGAGGAGGGATAGTGTTATATGACAATTTTTAATCTGCATGAGGAAACTCTTCTTGCTGTGACTTTTTAACCTTAGCAGTCTTACATATTTTGTAGCATAAATCTAAAACCAGTGGGGCCGTGTAATTCTACAAATGATATTCTTATAATATGCTGCTTAATCTTCCTACCTTTTCTTTAGGCTAATTTTTCAGTAATTTGACTATTTCAAAGTACTGTCTTTAATAGTAGAAGGTGATGGATGACATAGACTTTCCTATAAGGAACAGTTTGTGATCAAATCTGGGATTAATTTTGGAATGTATTTACAGAAAATTTAAAGTTATTATACTTTCAGTGCAATATGTCTGTTTGTAGCTGTAATTTCCTCTTCATTACTTAAAGTGGCCATCATGTGCACATTATTAATAACATAGCCATAGTTACTAGATTATTTTCAGCTTGAGTTTCATACTCTTCTGTGACTTGCATTCAGCCTGTAGCCATTATTAGAACTAGACAAGAACCAGGCAGATGTCAAATTCTGGGAAGGTAATTCTGCTAACATTAGGA